GGGGGTTTTGGGGAGAGAATGGGGGGGGGGGGGGGAACTGGATTAATACTTAAGGGTTTAGGGCAGCGGTTCTCAACCTGAGGATCGCGACCCCTTTGGGGTCGCATGATCCTTTCCCAAGGGTCCCCTAATACAATATGAAAACACATTTACTAACAGCTACGAAGAAGCAACGAAAATAATTGAGTGGCAGGGTGTCGCCATGACATGATATACTTTCTTAAAGGGTCGCGGCATTAGGAAGGTTGAGAACCACTGGTTTAGGGGAACCAAGGTGTAGAATGAAAAGGGTAGAGTGGGGTGTGGGCAGGGGGCTGATGTGGCAGGGGTGGCCTTGTAGGTTTCGATAATATATAACGGCTCGGATGATCTTACTTTGGGAAAAAGTCTCGGCCTTGACCTACACCCACCCACCTAAAGAGCCGGCCTGTACTAACTTGCCTTGTGACGTACGATAATTCTTTAGTGTATAGGTATTTTCCTTCCTGTCAGGAGGCTAATGAAAGAAATACAAATATTACGATGTATGGCATAGGGAGGTCTTCTGACTTCACACTTAATAGCTTCTATGTAAGGGCTCAAGCGGTAATGGTATTGGTCGGGTTTTGGATGTGTGGGTGGGATGGGGTGCCAACCAATAAGGTTCTTTTCAAAGTGAAGGTGGGGGCGTGCTGGGGTGCCAACCGATAGGTTCTTGCCAAGTGAAGGTGAGGGTGTTCTGGGGTGCCAACCGATAGGTTCTTGCCAAGTGAAGGTGAGAGTGTTCTGGGGTGCCAACCGATAGGTTCTTGCCAAGTGAAGGTGGGGGCGTTCTGGGGTGCCAACCGATAGGTTCTTGCCAAGTGAAGGTGAGGGTGTTCTGGGGTGCCAACCGATAGGTTCTTGCCAAGTGAAGGTGAGGGTGTTCTGGGGTGCCAACCGATAGGTTCTTGCCAAGTGAAGGTGGGGGCGTTCTGGGGTGCCAACCGATAGGTTCTTGCCAAGTGAAGGTGAGGGGGTTCTGGGGTGACAAAACGATAAGTTCTTGCTGGGTGTTCTGGGGGGCCAACCGATAGGTTCTTGCCAAGTGAAGGTGGGGGTGTTCTGGGGTGCCAACCGATAGGTTCTTGCCAAGTGAAGGTGGGGGCGTTCTGGGGTGCCAACCGATAGGTTCTTGCCAAGTGAAGGTGAGGGTGTTCTGGGGTGACAAAACGATAAGTTCTTGCCAAGTGAAGGTGGGGGCGTTCTGGGTTGCCAACCGATAGGTTCTTGCCAAGTGAAGGTGAGGGTGTTCTGGGGTGCCAACCGATAGGTTCTTGCCAAGTGAAGGTGAGGGTGCTCTGGGGTGACAAAACGATAAGTTCTTGCTATGCTGCTCAAAAATGTAATAGTTAACATAGAACTGCATTAAAGTTTACTGTGCATAAAACACGTCTCTTTAAATTAGCTTGCGCGCACTCACTTTCTTGAAAAAACGTCGGTATAACGGTGTAAGTAAATTTAAGAGGCTTGATGCCATTGGAAGAGGCTTGATAAGACTGAGAGTAGAGGTTTGATATCAATGAGAGAAGAGGCTTGATGCCATTGGAAGAAGAGGCTTGATAAGACTGAGAGTAGAGGTTTGATGTCTATGGGAGAAGAGGCTTGATGCCATTGGAAGAAGAGGCTTGATAAGACTGAGAGTAGAGGTTTGATATCAATGAGAGAAGAGGCTTGATGCCATTGGAAGAAGAGGCTTGATAAGACTGAGAGTAGAGGCTTCATGTCAATGGGAGAAGAGGCTTGATGCCACTGGAAGTAGGTTTGGTGCCACTGGAATAAATTGGAAAAAAAAACATGGTTTTCTGACTATTTCTAAACGTCGAATATACCATCATAAAATTGTGTAACTTATTATTATTACTTGTATTTAAATCTCTTGTACCGCAATCTTTTATTTGTTGATTTATTGACTCCATATCTCTACGCTGTTAAATCTTTGTGAAGTTCACGGCCAAAAAGAAAATTTAAGCTTTCAGTCATCAACCCCCCCCCCCAGACCACAACCACCACCACAACCCCTGAGTCTGTCTTGTTCAGGCAGGAACTATTCATGACCTATTCATTGGGCGAAGGGATGGGCCACTCACTCACTGACCTATTCAGAGAGTCACTCATATAAACATATAAAAAACACTACCAAATAAGAGAGCAAAGAACGCATCTATTTTAAAAGGACGCTTTATTTTTGAGGGTGAAAAGTCACCTCGGCTCCAACGTACAATGGCTCCATACTTTCTTATAATAGCTCCTTGCCTTCTGTGGAATGGGTTGGAGCAGATCTTGAAGCACCTTTTCAGCTACTATCGACTATGAATAGTGTTCTATTTCGGATTGAAATATGCCTAAATCTAATTTTCCGATAAGAAAATTACATTAGTTATGGCCAGGATTTTTTACTTCGTTGATTTTGTGAGGGTGGGGGTGGGGCAGGCGGGGGATGATTGGTTCAATTCCTTGTATAATGATCCAATAAACTAGACGACCCTGCTAGAAGAATATCTATAACATATAAAAAAAAATTAAATTTAAAAAAAATGAATAAGAAATTTAAAAGTTATATTTTATGTTTTAAACAAAATAAAATAAACATTCTGGAAAAATACACAGACTTCTTTTATACTAGAATAAATGACCCGGTGTTACCGGGATAGTAATGGAAGGCAATATGGGCTTCTTTCCACCTGTACTTATGAAGTCTCAAATTCTAAAAATCCAATTGTTACAAATGTAACCGAATCGAGTTTTAATGTATTATATCCTAGAAAAAAAAATCGACAAATAAAAGCACTTGAAATGTATCTCTAGGAAATAGCAAATTAGGCCTTATATTTTTTTAAAGAAGAAACTATGCATAGATAATTACCTTTCTCACATCATAGGATTTGAGCATTTTTTTCTTCTATCGACCAACATAGCAATTTTTCACGTCCATGAAGAACGAAACTAAATTTTGGTCAAAATGAAAATAGACAACAAAATATGTCCTTATAATTCTAGCCCGCCCTGTATATATATAAATTGCATAATAAATGTATAAAGTGCAATCTCTTCTCCACCTAGTGCAACGTTCCCAAACTTTTAAGTTAGACGGAACGTTGGGCACGTTTCTAAATCGCACCACGGACCGGTGCCAGATTTATTTATTATATTTTGGTTTTGACTATAAATATTCATGTTATGCGGACTGGCAACGAAAGGCTCGCCGACCGGTTCCGGCCCGCCGACCACTATTTGTCGAACGCTGCCCTAGATCACGTTTGTGTTCTTTATTACTTATGTACTGGAGCTGTGTGGAAGTAAGTTGATAAACTCGCAACATTATCCTTTACCTTTATGTTATCTATTACGCGTATATGTCCAATGGTAAGCTCGCCACAGCAATGTCCTCATCTGTCCCAATGGCCTCCCAATAGACAGATAGAAAGTGTCTTAAAATTAAAAAATAACAATCATTTTAGCGAGGCTAATTCCTGTCTCCCATTTTGTCCCGGATGTTTCATTGCAGCGTGTTTAGTCTAGGGCGTTCAAATTTGACAATTTAGGGCCACAGTGACAGTTCAGATACTCTGTGACAGTTCAGGTCTATTGTGACAATTTAGCTTCGCTGTGACGATTTAGCTCCGCTGTGTCAATTTAGCTCCGCTGTGACAATTTAGCTCCGCTGTGACAGCTCCGCTGTGACAATTTAGCTCCGCTGTGACAATTTAGCCCCGTGTGACAATTTAGCCCCAGTGTGACAATTTAGCCCCGGTGTGACAATTTAGCCACGCTGTGACAATTTAGCTCAGCTGTGACAATTTAGCTCCGCTGTGACAATTTAGCTCCGCTGTGACAATTCAGGTCCGCTGTGACAATTCAGGTCCGCTGTGACAATTTAGCTCCGCTGTGACAATTCAGGTCCGCTGTGACAATTCAGCTCCGCTGTGACAATTCAGGTCCGCTGTGACAATTCAGGTCCGCTGTGACAATTCAGGTCCGCTGTGACAATTCAGGTCCGCTGTGACAATTCAGGTCCGCTGTGACAATTCAGGTCCGCTGTGACAATTCAGGTCCGCTGTGACAATTCAGGTCCGCTGTGACAATTCAGGTCCGCTGTGACAATTCAGGTCCGCTGTGACAATTCAGGTCCGCTGTGACAATTCAGGTCCGCTGTGACAATTCAGGTCTGCTGTGACAATTCAGGTCCGCTGTGACAATTCAGGTCTGCTGTCATGAAGTGTCCACTTTCGTTTGAAACGTATTCATTGAAATGTTTTCGTTTTTTTTTTTTGTTTCCCCATTTTGCTTCTCAACACAAAGGTCACTGACCAAACTGACCCACCAGTTTGTTTGTTGTTGTTTTTTTCAGAAGTGACCTGATTTGATCAAAATAATAATTCTCATTTATTTGTATTTTCCTTTTTCAGATTTGATCCTTTTCAAGTCTTCGAGGTAAATACTTAGGAATAAACAAATCTTATAAAGGTTATCTACCTACAATGCACAACACAGACACGGTTCAGATATTACATTACAAGACGGACGCAGATCACAAATGTAGGCTGCTTATCAAACAGTCTGAATTATCTGTTTTAATTATAGATTAATAACGTGATATACCTCCTATTTAAGGCAAAATCTTGATATAAAATCTCTTACAGTTTGAATCCATTATTCTTGGAAGAGGAAGGAGTAATTAGTTTTCTTATAATATAAGAAATAAAGTTTAGAAAAAAAAAACAGGAAAAAGAAATTCTGTAAGATTTTAATGCACAGGTTAAATTAATGGCAGTGTTTCTCCCTTGTGCCAGGTTTCACACAAGCACTGTGCCATCATCTATGTCAAAGTTATCAGAGGCAGGAAAATTACCAAAGGATGGGCCAAGGACCTTGGTGAGTAAAACACCAACGATAGAAATAAATGCCTGACAAAGCAAAGCTTTAGTTTTATGTTAATAGAAAGTCTGAGCACTAATAAATGTATCCGAAGTAGCTGGGATCTTTTAGGGTAGCTGGGATCTTTTAGGGTAACCGTTTGGGGCCACCTACTGCTAAAGCTGGTATCTATTAGTAATTAGGGTAAATGTTTGGGCCCACCTATCTGCTAAATCTGGTATCTATTAGTAATTGGGGTAACTGTTTAGTGCTACATATCTGTTAAATCTAGTATGTATTAGTAATTAGGGTAACTGTTTGGTGCTACCTGTCTGCTAAGAGCCCTTGCCTACCGGTAACCATTTTTCTGTAAATTGAGATTAGATTTGAACCCCGATATCACGCGTTGCGCTTAATCGGCTATACAGCTTTCAGGGCATGCCTCCAGAGATTTCGTGTATTCATTCTCACGTCAATTTTTTTTCTCAAAGAAAATTTGAAAAGAATAGTAGGCTTATACCGAAATAATATATTCTTATACAGCATGCACTATCACAAAGTCACTAAAATCTGGGCCAACTTTAACTGTACATATTTGACTAACCACTTGAGATAAAATGTCCCGCTTTTGAAAGAAGCGAAAAAATCTTACTGCTTTTAAAAATCCACGACCCTGTTGTCACGGAATATTGCGACGGCAAGTTATGAGCACGATCCGATGGTATGGACCCCAGTTAGAGCGTTTCAGTGAGGTTTCACGTTTTTTACCAAACCAGGGGCTAGACTCAAATGTGTTACGTTTCTAGTGTGTCATTTCGAGTCGCTCAACATGTTCGACAGCAAAAATTTTGAAAGCTGTGCATTAGGTCAGGCCCTCACAACATATGGCCCGCGGGCCGGCACCCACTTCGGCGGGCCGCGCGAAGTGACGAAATATTCTTTATGATTATTATTTTATTATTAGCTTTCGCCCCTGTCCTATTATCTTTTGGCCCGCACAAATTTTTAATAAAGTATTACGGCCCGCACAAGTTTTTCATAAAGTATTACGGCCGCACAAGTTTTTCATAAAGTATTACGGCCCGCACAAGTTTTTTTCCATTAAGTATTACGGCCCGCACAAGTTTTTTTCCATTAAGTATTACGGCCTGCAGTACAATTTGAGTTGTGCAGACCTGCTTCAGGTAACCACTTCAACTGATTTTTTAAATGTTTATTTGTACTGCACACATCAGTGGACACTCCCGACCCCTATGTCATACTGACCCTGGCCCATTCCCCATACTCTTGGAGGAAAACCACCGTCAAGGACAACGACATCAACCCGGAGTGGCACGAGACTTTCACGTTCTGGTTGGATCCGGACCAGGAACACACACTAGGTGAGTAGTCATAAGTTGACGTTGAGACAGGTAGGTGCGCGGTTGATGGGTGCCGCCAAGACAGGTAGGTGCACGGTTGACGGGTGCTGCCATGACAGGTAGGTGCACGGTTGACGGGTGCCGCCAAGACAGGTAGGTGCACGGTTGACGGGTGCTGCCATGACAGGTAGGTGCACGGTTGACGGGTGCCGCCAAGACAGGTAGGTGCACGGTTGCCGGGTGCTGCCAATGTAGGTGCGCGGTTGTCGGGTGCTGGCATGACAGGTAGGTGCACGGTTGTCGGGTGCTGCCAAGACAGGTAGGTGCACGGTTGACGGGTGCTGCCAAGACAGGTAGGTGCGCGGTTGACGGGTGCCGCCAAGACAGGTAGGTGCACGGTTGACGGGTGCCGCCAAGACAGGTAGGTGCGCGGTTGACGGGTGCCGTCAAGACTTGTAGTTGAGCAGGTGACCCGTCACGTCCAGACTAGAGTAGATAACGGGCGAAGTCAAAGCAAGTAGGTGAGTAGTTAGGAAATGATTATAAAAAGTAAGGTCAAACCTGAAAGAAAGGAACGCAACAAAAAAACGAGCGTGGCGACAGGAAACCTTCGTCAGCGAACAAACAACAGAAAACACAATTTAGTATCCGAGAGGGCAGCAAAAGAATTGTGCTAGTGAGTAGTTGACGGGTGACATCAAGGCAGATCATAGGACAGATGAGTCACGAGAAATATGCAAACTGTTGACAGGTTGCGTTCAGTTCAGTTGAAAAGTTGACGAGGGGAGAAAGATTATCAGACAGCGTGATCATTGCTCAAAAATTCATTGCTTTTTGTTGAGGTAATAGCTGTCTGGAAGTTCTGAAAAATCATTACACATTAACAACCTCATCAAATAACTGAAGCTCATTTTTCATGGGGACAGTAAAATACGACATGTATATATTTATCATTTACTCAATAAAACGATCTATTAATCGTCCTCAGGATAACTGCCAATGATTATTTGATGTTTGTGTTACAACTATTATCAAATTGTGATTTAAATACGTGCAAAGCGATTGGATAATATTAACGCAATGGCATCACATCAGTTGTGGTTGATCCGACAATTTATGTCAACAGTTTTCAAATTGTAGTAATTGCCCCAAGCCATTCAGCTGGGCTATTAATTTTTAAACTGAGAATCGGTGGTATCGAAACCTCTTGCATTCATCTAAAGTAATGCAAATAATTCATTTAGAGCATGGCGCTTTTCGTTTCAAATACAATCGTCACTTAAGTGGCTTATTGCAAACATCTCGCCAAGCCGAGTCATGTCTCCAACATTCTATCTGCCTATACATGGCATCTTGGGGCCGGCAACGAATAAAGCTGTTTTGATGTTCCGGTCTGGGCGTCTCAATGGTTTGATTGTCAGCTCCTCGCGATTACAGATTCTGATTCATTTTTAATGTCTTGTTATTCAAAAATATAGGAAAAATAATCCCCCCACATTGCTGCATGATGTACCTGAAGACTTTAAATGGAAGGCTGCACAGATCCTATTTTTTTGTTTTATTTTGTTATTGCTTGATACATTGGTACATGATGGCAATTCGATAACACGAAAAGCTAATCTTTTTTTTTAAAGAATGTTTTTTATGATGCGATAGTGAATAAGAGTTACTACACAATGAAAAACAAATATAACATAGCAGATGTGTATTAAAATATATTTAACGTGTTTCTTTTGATCATTTATATTGATCAGTGGTAAATAAGTTTTAGATTTTAAAAAAAAAATTAAAAAAAAAAAAAAGGAACACATTTTTTATATCTACTTCAGATATGTCTTTAATGGATGCCAATTACACTGTAGATGAGCACCTGGGTTCTGAATCTCTCCCACTTAAACCACTACCCATTGGCAAAAGATTGACGAAAACCATACACTTTAATGAGGTCGGTGACAAACCAAATCTGAAATTGTAATATTCTCAATTATATAACTATTCTCAAGTATGTAACTATTATCAGTTTTATAACAATTCTCAGTTATATAACTATTGTCAATTATTTAAACAGATATAAATTATTTATCTATTCTTAATTAACTATTCTCAATTATTTTACTTGAATTTCTTTATGGTGTTGTTATTTATTGAGTAATATGTGTGGAAAAATATATTGGAATCACGCAGGTGCAAAAAATAATTGTAGCTATTTTGTCAACAGACATCAGAAATCGATATAGAAGTCTGGGGAGAGATAAAGTGAGTACCCCATACACGTTAGACACATGTCGAATTCTGTACAAACTTAAAAATGTCATTACAAAGATATTCAAAGTCAAAGTCGCTTAAATTATCTAGATGAGTGTTACATAGCATGTTGAAAGCGATTGCATACCTTAATAAATTACGTGTGGCTTCTGATATTTTGTTGCCGAACATCTTGATATGACAATGCAATTAGCAAGGGATGTTGGAAGCAGTTTGCATAGCATGTTGAAAGTGACTTGTAGGTGAGTCGTGGGTTTGCAAGTTATATAGTGATTTGGAAAATAGGACAGATTAATCTACAATTATTGATTAAATAACTTTATTATGGTTTGTGTGGATGCTCATGGATGAAGAATTCATTAAATAAACACCTTACAGTTTGTGTGTATCTTAAGATGAATAATTCATTAAATTACTATCTTTTGTTTTGTGTGTCTGTTAAGAGATGCAGAAATCATTAAATAACTTCTTGTTAGAATGTGTTATTTTTAGGTTGTTTTTTTTTTTTATTTTTTTTTTTTTTTTTTTTTTTTTTTTTTTTTTTTTTTTTTAAGACTTAAGCTAAAGTATCTATTCAAAAAATAATACTGTTCAAAATATTTTCTCATATTGTTTGAAATATAGTGAACAAGCTGATCTTCGATACAGTTTGACTTTGTGCAATGAGGAGAAACAATTTATTGATCTCAGAAAACGGAAAATCCACAAAGCCATGAAAAACCATTATGGTTTTGCAGCCCCTAAAAATTACAAAGAGGTAAAAACAAAAAAACTTTATTTTTTTTTCTGCAGGTACCATTCCTGTAGGTACAATTACTGTAATTTGAATAAATTCTTCAATTTATTAGTAATAGTAACTATGCCTGTTGAAAAGACAAGCATTATTTGAAATGTTTTCATTTTAGAATTATATATTTTTCAAAATGTTTGGATTAACCTACACTATTACTAGACCAATTTGGGTTCATTTAAATGAGTTTAATCACCAAATTGATTGTCGATCAGGTTCCAGTTATAGGTATCATAGGATCTGGAGGAGGTTTCCGAGCCATGATTGCCTATAGTGGTGTAATGACAGCTCTATCTGAGCTAGGTGTCATAGACATGGCCACATATATTGGTGGACTCTCTGGCTCAGCTTGGTGAGTCACATAAAACTGATTCAAACTCTTTATATCTTTTTTCGAACATTAATTTATTTACCGAATTTCTGATATCTTTATAAATGTATTAAAAAATTTAAAAAAAACAACAAAAAAAACATGTTTATTTCAGGTATTTGTCCCAGCTGTATTCACATTCAGACTGGCCAAACATCACTCCAGGAGTACAGAGAGAGGAGGTCAAGAACAACATTGACCATAGCTTTCTCTGGTTATTTAAGACGCATGGCATCGCCTTTGTCAAAGAAGTTTGGAAGAAGAGGAGCAGAGGAGAGCCGGTGTCTTTTACAGATTTATTTGGCCATTTGGTCGGGAACACACTTTTAAAAAATGTAAGTAGAAGGAAAAGGCACTAACAATAATGACAGAAAACATTTCAAACATATGGGAGAGAAAAGTTTTCCGGAAAATTTACGAAACAAAAAAGGATGAATATGGATGGAGAATATAAACCGACCAGGAATTGTATTGTTTATATCAGGATCCCAGATTAGTAATAAAAAATGGTAGGTTACGCTGGGCTGAATACTTCTAAAGAATGTCAAATCACAGAGGAGTGAAGAGGGTGTACTACCAAAACCCCAGAGGAAAATGGCTCAAAGGCAGCTGGGAATCCACACAGAGGTGTAGCGAGGGGGGGGGCAGGGGGGACAGATCTCCCCGGGCGCAAGCTAGTTAGGGGAGCTAAAATGTGCTTTAATATTATATTATTGGTAAAAATAATGGGTTTGAGAGTTGAAAAAAAGAATAGGGGGCGCTTTAAAATGGATCTTGTCCCCGGGCGCGAATCTTGTCCCCGGGTGCCAAACACCCTCGCTATGCCTCTGAATCCACGCATGGAAAGGAAAAGCATTAGTTAGGTCTGAGTAGAAAGATGAGATGAGGCTGACCAAACCCCTACAAGGGCTGTAGCACCACAGTGATAGATGGATGGTCTGAGTTGAAGAATGAGATGGGGCAGACCAAAGCTCTACATGTGCAGTAGCGCCACAGTGATGGACACCACAGTGATGGACGAATAGAACAAAAGAGTAAAGAGTCTCTTGTCTTCACTATTTTTAATTCAAAATTCATACTTTTTAAAAAATAATTCCATTCCATTTGACTCTGTTAAAAAAAAAAATATTTTAAAATGTGTGCTGTACAAATGGTTGTTAACAATAAATCTGAGTTTGTATCTTGTTGTTTTCAGCGACTTGAGACCAAACTTAGTGATCAGCGTAAAGCTATCAACAATGGACAATGTCCAATGCCACTGTACACATGCTTGCATGTGAAGAAATCAGTCTCAGCTATGGTTTTTCATGGTAGGTGTTTAAGCCTGGAAATTATTTGAAGTGCTGCTGGTTTTTAAATTCTCTGGACATATTGTGATTTTTTTTTTCTTTTTTAAAATATTATTTAATATATTTTGAAGCTTGATCATATTGTGCTGTAGCAAATGAATAAATTAAAAAAATATAAATTCTTCAATATGTTTGAAACAACCAAATACTGTTGGAATAATGAAAGCTGATGTAGGAAAATTACACATTTTATTTTGTAATTTTAAGGTTCTTCACGCTGTTGGTTTTATTTGCGTTATCTATAAACTTAAATATAAATTATTGGAGAAAATATCAAATTTCAGAATGGATGGAATTTTCCCCATTTGAGGTAGGCTTGCCAAAGTACGGAACATTTCTAAAAACAGAGCAGTTTTCCTGCAAGTTTTTCATGGGATGTATAATCAAAGAATTCCCAGAACCTCCTTTACATTTTCTCCAAGGTTAGTGAATTTCTATTTCACATTTTCCTGTCTAGAGATCCTCAAGTGATTTTTTGTTTTTTTTTAATTTAAAAAAAAGGCACATTTTAAATGGGTACAAGCATCTTAAGAGATCTAAATGATGCTCTGATGGGATTCAGTCTGAATTACCACTAGCTCTAATGTAAATTTCAGGAATATGGGGCAGCGCCTTCTGTATCCAGTTTAAACGTTTGCTGCAGGATGACAAAAATGTTGATGCAGTCGAACTGATGAGAAGAGAACGAGAGGAGCTAGGTAAGTAAATTTAAATTTTGGACCATATAAATTTGGAATTGTTGAAAGATTTGCATTCTGTTCATAAATGTATTCAGAACTAATTGAAAAAAAAAATTTTTGCTTCAAGTCTTACAATTCTTTTGCAGTTACATATATCACAGTATTCTTTGATGAATTTAGTGTGTTTATAATTAGCCTTTTATAATGAATATTCTCTAGTAGAGAATTAATTATTTTTATCTGTTATCTAGAGGAAGAGCTGAAAAAGGATATGGATGTTTGTGATGTTGATGAAAGTGAGTCAAGTGATGATGAAAATCTACAAGAGAAAGGAACACATGGAGAAAAAACAACAGGTAACTTACCTTACCATGAATGCAGGTTTTATACCATGAATGCAGGTTTTCTACCATGAATGCAGGTTTTCTACCATGAATGCAGGCTTTCTACCATGAATTTAGACTTTCTACCTTGACTGAAGGCTTTTTACCATGAATGTATGCTTTCTACCATGAATGTAGGCTCTATACCATAAATATAGGCTTTCTACCATAAATATAGGCTTTATGTCATTTTAGTGACATTTTTTCAAAATAACTAAAACATTAAGGAATTTATTTATTTTTTTATAGTTTTTCTTACCTAAAGAATTTTTAAAATTTAAAAGTGTGCTTTAGCTTAAGATTAAATTTATCAAATATTTTTCTTTTATCAAACAGTGCATAGATCTATGGCATCAAATAGTCTTGTTTTGCTTTTTTGGAACCAAATGCAAATATATATAGCAAAAAAACAAACAATTTGTTTTGCTATATATATATTTGCATTTGGTTTTAGGTTAATTTCCTAGCTATGTAGTCAGCTGCTTGGTAAATTATCATTCTGAGTTGAACTATATTCTATTTTCCTCTTCCTAAAATTTATCAAGTTAAGTTGAAAAATTTAAGTAAAAGTTAAATTTGTCACATTCTAAAACAGGTGGTTTACAGAGAAAGAGATCTAAAAGTACAAAGTTAAAACAGAAGACATTCTGGGATTCTGTGGTCAGTAGAATGATGGAATCAAGATGGTTTCAGGTCAGTAACATTTAGCAGATTACTCATTAAAAAAAATTAACCTATAATTTTAAAAATATTTGATTAAATTCTCTAAAGATAGCCTGTAACTCAATCCTGCTTATTTTATTTTTTTAAAGAAGACCTGTAATTCAATCCTGCTAAACATTTGAAAATAATCTCAGTTCAATGCTGGTATTTAAAATCCTAATATTTTTACTATGGTAAACTAAGATTACATTGTTAATAAAATCTTATTATAATTATCTACCTTTAATTACTTTAATTGCCTTAACTTCACTATTTGTCTCAGACTTGTTTGCTTAACAAAAAATAAAGCAACCCTCAATGATCTAATTTTTTAAATATTATTTTTTTTTTTAAATTCTCAGAGTATAGAATTAAGAGCTGCCCAAATTTTCAATTTCATGAGGGGCCTTTCCTTAAACAATGTCTTTCCTTTCTCACCATTCACTAAAACTCAAGAGGAGGAAAATGAAAATAATAAAGGTAAATATTATTGTTTTGTTTATTCAAGTTGCATTGCTTAACATTTGTAGGAAGTGGTTTAAATGAAATGTTGATTTCTTTGTATTTTTTTTTTCTGTATTTTTTTCATTAACTTAAAATATAATTTCAGATGATTTTATTGTTTTTAGCATGACTTTTAACAAAATAGTTCAGAATCTAAATGAGTTGGGAAAGAAGACTGCAAGAGATCAGATGTTGAAAGGTATTGGTAATGGTCTATGCATTGGGAGTTGAAAAAAAGGCACACAAAAAAGTACAAAATACTTTTAATTCTATTGCATGGTATTTATAAGTGTTCAATAATTAGTGAAGACATTATCATGTACATACATTTTTTCCACAGACACATTTGGAGGTATTTTTGACCTACACCCAACCCACATAAAGAAACTTTATGTTGTTGACAGTGGACTGACTTTCAATTCACCATATCCAGTATTGCTCCGCCCACAGAGGGAGGTGGATATCATACTCTCATTTGATTTTAGTGCCAGACCAAGTGATGACACGCCCCCTTTTAAGGTTTGTTAAATTTAATTTAATTTTAAATATCTTCACTGAATTAGTTCATAATTATTAACATTTGTTAAAATTTTAATAAACATTGGCAATAAAACAAATACATTAGCAATAAAATTGTGTATAAAATACTGGTATATAAAATTAGATTTTTCAACTTGAGCTTTATTTAAGTAACCAAAACTCAACATGTTTCTAAATTAATTAAACAAAGATATTTAAATATTTATAAGATATATTTAATGATATATAAATATTTAAATGTAAAAATATAGGTATTTTGTAATCTTATCTAAAGACTATTTGATGCATCTATTCAAACAGGAGCTCCTCCTAGCTGCCAAGTGGGCAGAGCTTAATAAAGTGCCATTCCCTCCCATAGATGTCAGTGTGGTACAGAAAGAGGGACTCAAGGAGTGCTATGTGTTCAAACACCCCTGGGATCCCAACTGTCCAATAGTCTTACATTTCTGTCTGGTTAACATCAATTTCAAAAGGGAGTTGAGACCAGGTACATAGTGGTGAATTTGATATAAAAAAACACAAAGAAAATTAAACTATTGAAATTTATCTAGAATACCCTTGCTCGTTTATTTGAAGGAAAAACATCCTTTTTAAGACATGACTCTTTTTAGTCAACCTTGGAGTAAAATAATTTTAAAAAATAAATGTGCTCGGTGACCGAGCCATTTAAACTGACTCAAACTAAATAGGTTGTGGTCTGGAGTTCAATTCCCACCAAAGCCAACATCCCAAGCACACCGGGTCGATGGGACTCACTAGCCTTGGGCGGCAACTCATCTAAGAGAAGGCAATCTCTGAATTCAAACCAGGAGTCAGAATGATCAATAAATTGATTGTGGGCCCTCAAGTACAAGAAGAAGAAATGTCCTCTCAGGCCAGTTAAAAAAAAAAGTGAATCTTGTAATATGAAAAATGGTATGGTTTCTACTGCAAAAGCATCAATAGACTTCTGTACGATCTCCTCACCTACCTTAAATTAAATCACACATTAAGTATCACATAATAATAATATTTAGTTTTAGATTAAGATAATCAGATTAAAAATTATATATTACTTCCAGGTGTTCCCAGGACAACCCAGGCAGAGATGGACTTTGCTAACTTTAGCATATTTGATGATCCAGCCAGACCGTATTCAACATTCAAGTTCACTTACACCAAACTGGAGTTTGAGCGTCTTTCAAAGTTGATGGAATACAACACTTTGCTGTGTAAGGACATGATTTTCGACAACATCGGCACCTGCATCAAAAGAAGGCGACGTTTTAGTATTCGACGTCCGTGCAAGAGGAAGGATATTGCCAGGCTCAGTTTGAACAGCAAAATTAAGGCTGAAAAACTTGCAGAATACATTGCTTATGTGGAGAAGGTGTCCGGGCTCAGGGAAAATGGTGAAAAGCCAGAAAAGGAATCCAAAGATGAGGAAGTATATGATGAAACTGATTTTGCCCCAACCATTCGGGATGCCCACGGAGGTAAAATAAGACCCTTTAGTTCACCAGCTAGCTCACTGGATGAGCTGGATGACAACTCAGATTGCATGAAAGGTCCAGAGAGGAGGATGAGGTTGACCTCGGAAATGAGCCAGGTGCTAGAAGAAGGTGATGACCTAGAAGAAAGCTCAATGGCCACAAATGGGCCAGGAATCGGGAAAGGAACGTTGACCAGATCGAGGCCTATAAAACCTGAGAACTTGAAAGACAGTGTGGATAGAAGAGCCTACAGAACAATGAGTGATGGTGCAAGTCTCTTAAATGGAGGTGCCAAAACTAAGGGCTACATTCAACCTAATTCCAAAGTGAGTGAATCGTACCTTTCTAAACATTCTTCACAAAGTTCTCAAACGAAATCAGATGATCCTAAATCAGCCAGCGATGATATATCTGATTCAAGTGGATCAAAAACAATGTCTGATAGTGATTTTAATTCTCATCTGGACAGCATGAGTGAACAATTTGGAGTGCTAGAGTCGGGGTTTTCAGCTCAAAACAGAAGAACCCTAGCCAGGATGAACAAGGAGCACAACAGTTCTAGTGAATCAATTGAAAAATTAGTTAAGGGAAATGATCATTCAATAGAAAAGCGGAACGACCATTCCAATGCAGCAACTGACCTTGTTGAATGGATTGATGCTGCAGATCGTGTAACATTTCTGTAGACTGCAACACCACAACAGGGCCATTGTGTGAATTTTTTAAAAATTCAATAGGTCTTAAGTAGATAATTTATTAATCTAAATACTTCTGATTTCATTATTTTAGGTTCAGCATCACATTTGAATCAAAATTAAGACATTTCATTCATCAGTGCAAAATTTAGCTTATTAATAAAGAAGGGACCAAAAAATTTATATTTTCATATTTCACCTTAATTTAAATGATTTTCATTCCGTGTTAGCTCAGTATTGTAGAGCATAGAAAGTAATTTATTCTGTCTCCCATTTACGTATTACTAGAAACTGAATGTAACTGACAATCATCTCACTTTTCATATGTAGTCTACTTTGTAATCATTTCCTAACATATCTGTGATATTTGGAATAGGAACAGCAAATCCATGTTGAGGTAGTTGGTATGGAATATATTACAATTTACAAATAATTTTTTAAAAATGCTTTGTTAAAAATTGATTTCTGCATTCACCAGCCCTAGGCTGGGCGAAAACAAATCTTTCTTATACATGGAAAGAAGAGAAAGCTTATTAGATTCGACTTTGATAACATTCGCAATTTTTAAGTCTGCAACATGCTGTAAATAGATTTTTTTAACCTTGAGTGTAAACAATTTCTGTATTTTTAAATGAAGGGTAAATATGAATGTTATAGAAGATTTTATGAATTATAGATATGTGGCAACGTCATCTAGGGTATGATTTTTAATCCTTACAAGGAAAGTCAGCTTGAAATATATGAATCTTTAAATCTAGTAGCCTACCAGACATTAATTTAAAAAGCCACAACCCATCTCATCCAAGTTGTGAGGATACTCTAACCTGGTCTGTCTGCCCATCATTTTTGTAAAAAGTATTTAATAAGACTTTACTATGATGGCAAAGTTATATATTATCTCAATAGCAGCCAAAAAAATAAAAATTAAATTCATCCTCAGACCAATTTTAGTAACTTGACAAGACCTTCTTGAATACAGTATTATCAAAAAAATTGATAGATGTGTCCATCCATGAAATGCACAGTGTTGCCTTGTTACTGACGTCTCAATTACACAATTGAAGGGCCTTATTATCTGACAGGCCATTTTAAATGTATTTGGCCAACTTATTTGTCATTGTGAAAAGATATGATAGTATGTAGGCCTATTATTTGGTTCACAATCCACTTTTAAATGTATTATTGTTTTTCTTATTAAGTTAGATAAATTTTTTAGATAGCATATTTTAAGTGTTAAAACAATCCACTTTTAAATTTATTAATTTTTCTCAAATTAGCATATTTTTTTAAACTGAAATGCTTAAGTGTTTTAAAACATTGACTCATCTCACAGAAATCACTTGGATCATTCTTTTTTTAATGTTCATTGTTAGTCACAGTTTTATATTTTAATAATTTTATGGCATAATATGATTGCTTAATTTGTTAATGATTTTAAATAAGTTTCCTAAAAAGTTTATGTACCCATCTTGAAGACTGTGCCAAAATTAAATAATTAAAAAAATTGTTTGGCATTGTAGCAACTTTGACGACATAATGTATAAATATATTATCTACAGCATTTCTTAAGTTCAAAATAATTTATTCATGTTGCTTTTTCAATATCAATTTTTTTTTAAACTTTATGAAATTATACTCAATAAATTTTTTTCAGGATCCCAAACTTATAGGTAGATGTAGAACTTAAAAGTTTTGATAAAACTGTCTATTACCAGGTACAAACATGGCATAAACTGAAATATTTTTAAAAGAAGGCCTATTTTAAATATTTATATTGTAATTCTTAAAAAAAAATGAAAATTTATGTGAAAAATCGACACAGCAATTTCAAAGTCTTGCCTATACCTAGAAGGCTTGGTGTCAGTCTTAAATATGTACTTTGTTCATGGTATTGAAAAAATGTATATATTTTTACAGTGGGTTGATGCATATAAAAAATAAATATTATTTACATAATTTTTTTTAAAAATAAAAAACAGTCTGTGTTTAATTATGTTCGTATGAAGCTTCACTTTTAAAAAAATTAAATATTATTGAGGTATGTTCATATATCAATTATTTTGCTAAAAATTAAGTATTGTTCTAAATTTAGATGTTCAAGGATGTATTTTTATAAAGAGCTCTTAAATTATGTCTTATAATGTAATTTTTTTTCTTTATGTTATTTTAACATATAATGTTTTTGATTTTAATAAAAGAGAAACTAATAAGTTAGAGTTCACATTTATAAATGTTATGTCCTGGTTGAGCTGAGCAAGGCTGAATTATTAGAATATTAATTCAATATTGAATGAACAGCTTGTTGGCGTCAGCTTAAAAGGGAAGGAACTGACGGTTATTTTGCGAAGGGCAATAAAGATTTTTTTAATTAAATTTTAAAATAAAAAAATATTAGTTTTAACAATTGTTGACAAAATATTACAAAGAAATACAAATACATACACATTTTGATTATGTTTACATTTTCCTTTTATTTTTATTGTGGCTTAGCCTTTATGATACATCTGTGCTTTGGTTTAGAAAAACAAGAAATTGGCCTTGTTTTTTTTTCCACTTGAAATCTTATTTGAAATTGTGTTCAAACAGTTCCATTTGTGCTCATCTGTCTCAAGATTAAGTAGAATAATTGATAAAACAAGAGTAACCTATCGCATGATTTTATGCTCAAAACTAAGGGAATTTTATATAATTAAAATGTTGTCCATTTTGGCTTTTGTTCTTAATTAAGAAAATGTTATTTATTTTTCACGTTCTTTGTATTAAATAGTATTTTAATAAAGAGAAGTATAAATAAGAAAATGGTTTTTGTCATTTTTTCCCAATTTTTCAGCCATTTTAAGCCATACGTAATTATTTTTTTTTTAAAGCTATTCATTTGAGGAAGATAAAAGTGATGTGAAGTGGTTTTACTTATTAAAAATGAAAATGTTCAATGGACCAAACAGTTATAATAGTAAATTTCTATGAAATTAAAATTCAGTTATACAGAGAAAAAAATAACTAAATCAACTTACAGCACAACAAGGTACACTCCTCGGAAAATATAAATATTAATTCACTCACCTACAACAGAGAACAATATTGCAGCTCTATAACTTCTCCTATATGTAATATTGCAAAAATCGCTCTACTGGATAGAAAAGCTGACGGCCGACATATAGGGATCAAATTAGAACGATAAAGTAAAGAAATTTTAGAAATAGTGTCACCTAAATGAATTCTCTAGAATATAGAGAACGCATTCAAACGTAAACATTTTGACAATCAAAAGTATGGTTGAGTAAAGAGTGGCACATCACAGTTACTCTATGGTGTCAAAGAAAAGCAAAAACAGATGGGAGATAAGTGTTGGTAGCTAAAACAGCTCTACCGGTACCTCGAAAAAAAATTGGCAAGAATAGGGCTTAATATAAAAGTGCTATTCTCTTGTTACTAAAAATTTGTGTGGGTTGGGGGGGGGGGGGTAAGCATTTAAAAAAAAAAAAAGTTTCATGCAGCAAACTAGTGACCTTGGCAGTTAAGATTATCCACCAGAAGAGGTCTTATGGCTGTTTTATGTGCTGTGTGACCAAACCAGGCAGATTCTTTGAAAGGTCACCCAAATATATAAAATTATTTTAAAGTTCAAATTTTTAGAGATATCTTTAGCATTTAGCCGCCCCCCCCTCTTTTTCCAAACATTGTGCCCTGTATTGTTTTTCTCCTTAAGACTTTGTAGTGTGACCAACCGTGGCCAGGTGCAGTTCATGGACCATGTTATACTTATAACCTGGATACAATGGTATGGCCACGTGACAAGGAAACAAGGGCTTGCCAAAGAAATATTTCAGGGCACAACGTAAGGAGGGAGAAGGAGAGGAAGGCAAAGATGGGAAGATAACATCAACGAGTGGACGGGACTAAAACTAGGCGATGCTGTGCGTAGTGCAGAAGACAGAGACGAATGGAGGAAGATAGTTCACATGTCATCTGTGGCGACCCAACAGTCCAAGGACGAACGGATACGATGGTGATGATGATATAAAAGCTCTTTCAACACATGGGAAATATAAATTTGTTTTACCTTGCTAATGTGTTCCCTAATTTTAATATGAGAGCCAACACATTAAGTGGGCCTACTAATCATGATTACTTATGTATGCATTCATTTAAAGTTATCCTTGTTTCCCCACCCCCCAAAATCTGTACTGCCCTGTTAACGTGGCCAAACGATGTTCAATTAAAAAAGGGCTAAATTTTGAACTTTAAATGTTATCACCCGGTGCGGCTCGCATTCCCCGCACCCCCCACCCCCCCCCCCAGCCACGCCACTGCCCCTAGGCCCGTTTACATCCGCACACTTGGAAATAAGTCTTGCACAGCAGTTTAACATCTCTGATGTTAGTGCACAGTAGTTTAACATCTCTGATGTTAGTGCACAGCAGTTTAACATCTCTGATGTTAGTGCACAGCAGTTTAACATCTCTGATGTTAGTGCACAGCAGTTTAACATCTCTGATGTTAGATTTACACAATCCTCTTGATAGACACCTCGAGAGATTGCCAGATGATACAAGACTAAAAAAAAAAGTGTCACACTCGTACACATATATAAATCGATGGACGTAGCTCTCAAAAGTAGTCCGACACTGAAGGGTTTATATGATGCTGAGACTGATGTACATCAGCAGAGGGAACGATGTACATCGGCAGGGCGACTGATGTACATCGACAGGGGGACTGATGTACACAAGCAGGGGGACTGATGTACATCAGCAGGGGGACCGATGTACATCAGCAGGGGAACCGATGTACATCAGCAGGGGAACCGATGTACATCAGCAGGGGGACTGATGTACACAAGCACGGGGACCGTGTTTAAAGATGAAAAGCGACGAGTTGGTCCGAACGGAAGGATGTGGGGATGCAGGTCAGAGCCTTCCAAGGCTGTAGTGCCATCGATGATGATGATCTTAGCGTCGCCTTGGGGTTACTTATAGTAGGATTTGTTTAAGTACATTGAGAAACATATGAGATGGAAAAACTATGGCCGCCTTTTGCCTCAAGCATGCAGTAGTCCTGGTAGATATCTCAATTCTCAAATAGGATAGAATCTATTAATTTTATTTACACATTTCCTAAGATTTTCCCAATGGTTCATTTGTGAAAATGTATGTGTATTCTTGTTGCATCACTAGCAAGAAATATAATCCCATTACGTAGCCTCGATTGCAGCAGTATCACATGTTATAGTATTATCTAACCATATATGGTTATGGCATCATCACTGGTTGAATCATTGTCACTGGTTGAAGCACGGACCCTGGTTAAAACATTGTTTCTGGTTATAATCTTTATCTATGGTAATAGCAGCATCACTGGTTACGACATCCTTTATGTTTTTGGCAATAACACTGTTTATGACAGCAGCACCGTTGATGGCAGCAACACTGTTTATGACACCAGCACCGTTGATGGCAGAAACACTGTTTATGACACCAGCACTGTTGATGGCAGCAACACTGTTTATGACACCAGCATCGTTGATGGCAGCAACACTGTTTATGACACCAGCACCGTTGATGGCAGAAACACTGTTTATGACAGCAGCACTGTTTATGACACCAGCACCGTTGATGGCAGCAACACTGTTTATGACAGCAACACTGTTTATGACACCAGCAATGTTTATAACACCAGCACCATTGATGGCAGCAACACTGTTTATGACACCATCACCGTTGATGGCAGCAACACTGTTTATGACACCATCACCGTTGATGGCAGCAACACTGTTTATGACACCATCACCGTTGATGGCAGCAACACTGTTTATGACACCAGCACCGTTGATGGCAGCAACACTGTTTATGACACCATCACCGTTGATGGCAGCAACACTGTTTATGACACCAGCACCGTTGATGGCAGCAACACTGTTTATGACACCAGCACTGTTGATGGCAGCAACACTGTTTATTACACCAGCACTGTTGATGTCAGCAACACTGTTTATGACACCAGCACCGTTGGTGTCAGCAACACTGTTTATGACACCAGCACCGTTGATGGCAAAACACTGTTTATGACACCAGCACTGTTGATGGCAACAACACTGTTTATGACACCAGCACTGTTGATGGCAGCAACACTCTTTATGACAGCAGCACTGTTATGACAGCAACACTTTTTATGGCAGCAACACGGGATATAACAGTACCACATTCAATTTTTATAAGATGGGACTGATCTTATAGAGACACAGTCGGCACAACACGGTCTCTGCTTGACTGAACAGTTTCATGGACAGGCAACTCGATCGCTACCGGTAAACTTAACAATCTGGACATGCTGTTTAAGAATGGAATTTAAAAAAAAAACAAAAAACAAAAAAGAAAAGAAACAAAAAAAAAAACAAACAATATCTTTTTTAAAAAATACAGCAATTCCCTGGATAATGTTGCAGTTGAAATAAAAGCTACATAATTCATTTCAATATAAAGTGAAATAGATATTATTACTGGGTACGTTCCAACGTGTTCCACATCTGCTGTATTTGTTGTGTTTCAATTCCGCAGTCTGAATGATAGCAATTCAATTCATTTTTTAATTGTAAAATATTAAATGTTCTTTCCTTTGACCAATGGCAAGCTGTGATTATCTAAAAGTTCTGCCCCTCCACGGGCTCTTAAATCCCCACCTGGGAAAATGATGTAGCTCAACGCCAAGCGGATCAATTGTCGGAGACGAACGCCAGCAATTACTGTAGCGTTTTAATCAGATGTTTCAGTTGCTGTATAGCTGAAGCGGTAAAAAAAAACAAAAAAAAACACAATTTTAACTGAATGATTTAATAATAAAGAGCACGATGTACACTGTAAATCTTTGTTCGGTTCAAATATGATATCATGAGTATTCATAAATATTACTCTTTTATAAATTTTAAAACAGTTACGGCCCTAATTTAAAAAAAAAAACGGGGGGGGGGGTGGGTTTGGGCGTCGGGGGAGAAAATAAAACTATAATA